CCCCCAAAAAAATCTAAGTACTTTTTCTCAGGTCAGAACAGTTAGTAGTGTCAAAAACTTGACTTTTGTTTTATGACTTCTTTGCTACTTTTTCTACCACACGCAGCTTCTTTATTGTCCAATGTGAACATAATTGAAGAACACTCCAACTATTAGCATTTTTTCCCCTCTAATCTTGGTTCTGTATTGCTACCTGTAATACCCAGAATTTTCCTCCTTGAACACAATCAAAAGTATCCATTGAATTATCTCAACCTAGATTGTACCTTGTTACATGGTGCTGCCTCATCGCTCAGAGGGATTTCAGCATGTTTGCAGAGCTCAGGTTACAACCAGGAATCAGATGCTGGCCCCAGGTTCTGGCCCCACCTGACTCCCTATGACCACCTGTTTCGCTCGCCTACCCCGTTCCCTAGGCTCCTTCTAAAGTCCTCTCTGTTGACCTCCTCTGACAATGATTTAGTGCTTCTGGCTCACCCTCTGGCTTGACCTCCAGAGTTTGAGTCCCTCGGAGCTTTGTTCTGACGGTCAGAACTTCTCTGCTATTCTTCCTGAGCTTCCTCCCACCTCACGCTGCTTGTCCTCCCTGCTTCTCATCCCTCTCCCCTCTCCCAGCCCTCCATCCCTACCCAGTTCTAGGTGTCATAGCTCACTAACTGTCTAGTACTTTCCGTTGTCAGGAGAACTTGTACTTGATGTAGACTTGGCTTACTCACTGCTGTGCTTGGAACAGCTTTTTGTCTTTATTTGCCAGTTACCAACAGTATGGTGGGGGCATTAACACTTAAGAGCTAACCCATGTTAAGGACTCTTGACAACTCAGCTCTCTTACAAAGCCTGTCTGGAGCGTATTTCAAGAATAGTTTTAATCCTGTGAAGTTTCCAACCTAGTTAATTTTTGGATGATGAATACTCTTGTGCTGTTCATTTTATTTCTGTCAGATGCTGCCATGAACAGAAAGCAAAGATTTTACTATTTTGTTGCTTTACTCATATTTTCACCACATTGTTCATGGAAACTTATTAGTTCTCTTCCTAAGATCCTAGAAGTACTTCTTTTCTTCCTTTTGCTGCTGTATGTTTTCTCTCTGCTAAATCGTGTTCTAAATTTTTTGGCCAGTGACAATGATGACAGAAATAACTTCATTTTGATTATGTTTCCTTCCCTAAGGATGACCATGGCTGGCTCTTTGGTGGACTCCATCATGCCTCCAGCTGAATGAAAGGCCTACCTCTGGCCATCCTGCCACAGAATGGAAAATGCTTCCTCCTCACACCAAGAGCCTAATAACACAGTGTGCTCAGGACAGGAGTCAGGACAACTTACAAAATCTTTCCAGAATTCAGAGAGAGAGAGAGAGAGAGAGAGACCTTAATGGCCACATTCCAGTCTTGTTTTATTCCTTTGCTGCCATCTCTGCTTTCCCACGCGGCTGCCTCATGTCCCACATATAACTGACAATCTGAAGCCGAAATCAAACACCCCGATGGTGCCTCTGCTGAAAGAAGCTCCAAGTGGTCATAAATNTTTGTAATAGCCACAAAGTGGAAACAATGCAGATGTCCATCAACTGATGAGTGCGTAAAGTAAGTGTGGTCTATCATACAATAAAAAAGGAATGACACACCTATGTATGCTGCATCATGGATGAACTTGAAAACATTCTGCCAAGGGAAAGAAGCCAGACATAAAAGATAACATGTTCTGTGAACCTATTTATATGGAATACCCAGAATAGGCAAATCCATAGAAACAGAAAGTTGTTACAAGGCAGATGGATGGAGGGAGGAATGGGAAGTGATTGCTAATGGGCAAGGGATTTTGGGGTGGTGGTGGTGGTGAAAATGTTCTGGAATTAGATATGATTTTGTAATATTCAAAGGATTAATTTAATGATAGATGAGTTACATCTCAAAAAAAAAAAAAAGTTACCTTGCAGGACACACACCAGCCCTGTGCTGATTCCAGAAACAATGTCACTGAGTAGCCATTCCTTAACCCGGTATGCTGGCAACCAAGAGGCTACGGGGAGCAAAGACAGGGCAATTCTCTTGGCCTTCTGTGTGGAACAGCTGAAAACATTGAAAGCTACAGGTTAGTTGATCAACATCAAATTTTAAGTTTAGTACCTCATAGTAGGTGGAAAATTGGTCAAGACATAACATATTAAAGAACAAACTAGTGCTTTCACTAGCTTTCCCACAAAGATTCACCTCCTTACCCATATCAACTGCTCCTGGCCACCACCAAAGGGCTTTTTAAAAGAAAAATGCTGCTTTTCTTTAGCCGTAATAGAGCTTATTTGTCATCTCAGTTTGAAATGGCCAACATTCCAATAGAGAATTTTCCTCTGTTCTCATCTATGAGTCCTCTGATATGGAAAGGCTGTGTTGAGAGCTGAGGTGGTGTTCATTTCAGAAACGACCTTTCCAGCTCTGGCAGGGAGGTTTGGAAACCAAAGATAAAAGACTCTGAATACTATGGGCTACCGCCAGAAATGAGTGCCTGAAAGCTTGAAAATTTAGGAGAAAGTGTTTTATTTATTCCTAATGCCAGTATCTTAAAAAATATCTTACCTACAACACACTTTGAGATGATCCAGAAACGTCTTATGATATCTGTGTTTTTTCTTATGTTCTTCCCCAAAAGCATTTGCAGAATATACGGGCCTGGCCACAACGTACTGATTCCCAATGGGCTCGATCATTTTGCTTTCTCTGACGGCTGTGGTAAGTGGAAGACCTTTGGAACTATGTGGCAAACCCTTCTTCTTGCCTTTAGCAGGTTAAAATGCCTGAAACCAAACGGAGCTTGCTTCTTAAATAACTCAGAGATAATGTGATGCAATTTACAGATGAGTGAGCTCTGGACTGAATGTTACCACCTTTTGAGATCAAAAGAGGCAGGATTAAGGGACCTGGATTGTGTTTTGTGACAGTGATATTCCAATGAGCTGGACACTGGACACGGCTCCTTTGGGTAAGTAAACAAGGGCTTTTATTTATTTATTTTTAAAGACCACCAACAAAGCAATAGAAATCGACTCAGTTTACTAATCAGTGAGTGCATTTTTTACTTGTAAAGTAAGATCTCCTCAAGAAAAGGAATTCTAATTTTTTTTTTTCCTAGAAACATTTCCAAAGTTATGGCATTGGAGTTCTGGGACTGATGAGACTTAAAAGTCAGCTCATCGCCTCTAACTCCAGTCAAGGCTGTTCCATTTTACCCATCAGAATTTATAGTTGAGGAAACTGGCACAAAGTATTACTTGGCTACTTAGTTCACTTGTGAAGAGGCCTTTTTAAGGAAAAGATCTTGGGCAATTTACTTAACCTTTGTGAGCCTCAGCTGTGTAATTAGGATAATAATACTCAAGTTTCAGGGTGATTGTGAAGATTAAATGAGAATGTTTTCAAAGCATCTAGCTTGTGCCTAGCATGCAATAGACATTCACTAAATGATAGTTTTTATTATAACTATGTGCATTTTCTGCACAGGATCTTTAAATATTTTGTTCTTGTCTCAATCTATTATACAATACTTAAAAGATCAATTTTGCAAAAGCTTTTAACGCACATTGCCTATTTAGCCGTCACAATTCTTTTAGGCACTTATTATTATTATTAATATTGTTATTATTATTATTGTTTTCTTCTTACAAATGGGAAAATAATAGCACACCCCTTCCCCCCA